AAACCAAGTTGCGGTTGGGTGGGTGGGATGTTTGCGCGAGCAGTGGAGATGACGACTTCAAGTTCAGCAGAGTGGATTCTCTTTTCTAAAAGGAGAATAGATTCTACCCCCCCCCGACTTATCCGTTCCCCTTTCGGGTATATAGATCATGTATGATTCTGACCACTCGTCCATCCTAAATATGAAATCATATCATCCCAGCCAGGCCGGGTTCCCCCCCTGAGGTTCCCTTGTGAAAAACACTATGCGGTGACATTTTTTGTTCAAACATAACACTTTTTCACGAATCCCTTGCAAACAACGGGACGACGTGCACACGCGCGCGTCGTCGCGCGCGCATACCGAAATCCTTCAAAAACCTTCGGTGCCGGAGGGATTTCGCAATCGAGTTTCCCCAAAAACATACAAAACACAGTGTTTCGCAACACTGATTTGCTAAACAAGCTTCCGCGCGAGCTCTTGCGAAATCTTTAGAAAACCATAGTATTTTGTTGTATTAAAAAAAATCACAAAATGCTACCAAACAGGTTTCGCGCGCGCGCATGTCGAAATCTGTCGGACGCCCTTGCGCGTGTGCCGTCGCGAGAAGCCTCTGCAAAAAATGGGACGAAGTGCAGACGCGCGTCGTCGCGGGCGTACGCCGAAAACCTTCAAAACCCATCGGTTTCGGAAGGATTTCAAAATCGTGCGTCCAAAGAACCTACAAAAACCCAAGGTTTCGTAACACGGAATTTCAACAAAAGCGTGCGCGCGCGCTCTTGCGTCGTCGTCGTCGTCGTCGTCGTCGCCGTCCTCCCTCCTCCCGCGTCGTCGTCGTCGTCGCCTACGTCGTCCTCTGTCTTTCTCGTGTTCGTCGTCGTCGTCCTCTTTGGCGTCGTGGTCGTTTCCGTCGTCGTTGTCGCCGTGGTCGTCCTTCCTCCTCCTCCCACGTCGTCGTCGTCGTCCGTCGTCGGCGTCTCGTCGTCGTCCCTCCTATTTCGTCACCGTCGTCGTCGTCGTTGTCGTCGTCGTCTTCCCTCCTCCCTCGTCGTTGTCGTCGTCGGCGTCGCCGTCCTTCCTCCTTCGTCGTCGTTCGCGTCGTCGCCGTCCTCCCTCCTCCCTCGTCGTTGTCGTCGTTGTCGTCTTTGTCGCCGTCGTCGTCCTTCCTCCTCCCTCGTCGTCGCCTTCGTTGGCGTCGTCGTCGTCGTCTTCGTCGTCGTCGTCTTCGTCGTCGTCGGCGTCGGCGTCGGCGTCGTTGTCGTTGTCGTTGTCGTCGGAGACGTCGTTGGTGTCGTCGTCGTCGTCGTCGTCGTCGTTGTCGTCGGTGTCGTCGTAGTCGGTCTTAAGAGGTTTTGCAAACCAAGTTGCGGGTGGGAGGGTGGGATGTTTGCGCGAGCAGTGGAGAGGACAGCTTCAAATTGAGCAAGTGATTGATTACACCACATAGACTGCACCACAAACATTGCACAACTATTGCGCACTCGCATTTTACAACAATGCGCCGTTTGGGGTCCACGCGCTGGCTAACACACATATGTTTGTAACAACGTTTCATAGGCGTATAACGACTCACGGTCGGGAGCTTCTGCTTAGCGTGTCGCGCCGCCGGTTTTTGGTCCACGCCCCCATTTCCGAGCGTCGTCTCCCAGAGCTCTTTCCTTTCTCCCGCCCCGCGGAGCGGAGCGACCACCCATCAGCTCGCAGGACGTGGTGTGTCCTTCGGGCCGCCGCCATCTCTTGTCTGCGTGTGTACATTCGAGCCTCTGGAGGCCTGGGCCTGGCGGCGATGCCAGCGACCTCGCCGGCGGCCTCCGGCGGCAGGCAGGGGACTGCTGCTCGCTCGCCGGCCGCCGCGTCGGCGGCGCGCCGGCCGCGCGGCTCGGGCGCGTCCGCCACCGCGGGGCGCGCGCCGCCGTGGCAGCACGCGCGGGGGTGGGACGAGAGGCACCACCTCACCAGGCTCCTAAGGGGCAGAGACAGCATACGAGTCGAGCTTCTCCTGCATTTCTCCGTGGCGGTTTTTCGCCCACGGCGCTTGCAGCGCCCAGGGCTCCCAGGGTCCCCTGGGCCGTCGGGTAGTTTCATACAGCGGCGCTGTAGGTGCACCGGGCTGAAAACAGCAGCAAGTTCACACAGAGGCACCACCTCACCAGGCTCGCGGGGGGGCCCACTCATTCCCCAAACAGTGCTTGCACTTAGGGATTCTTCTTTTGTGCGGAACTGGGCCTGCCCGTCGGTCTGACTGCTATGTGGTCGCCGTCGCCGCTCCGTTTCCGCTCGTTTTTTGGGCCTGCCCGTCGGTCGTCGGTCTGACGGTTATGTGGTCGCCGTCGCCGCCCCGTCGCTCTGGGCCTGCCCGTCGGTTTGACGGCTGTGTGGTCGCCGTCGCGGCCCCGTCGCCTTCTGGGCTTGCGTTGCGCTGCATTGCGTTACGTTGTTTTGCATTGCGGTCCATTGGTTGCGAAGGCGTTGCGGCAGGTGCCGCCGACCCTGCAGGGGGACGACGACGACGATGACAACGACGACGACGACGACGACGACGACGACGACGATGACGACGACGACGACGTCGACGACGGTTGTTGCGGCGGTGACGACGACGACGGCGCTGGCGCTCTGGAGCCCTCCTTGGGGCTTTTTTGGGAAGCGTATTGGGCCCTGTTGGGGTTTTGTTGCTCCCATCGTACTTTTGGACCACATCCCAGAAATCATTTCGAGCACCCAGAGAAGCATCGACTCGGGGTCGAACGCGTATCGCCTCCCGGGGCCCGACACGTGAAAATCCTCAAGTCTCGGTACTTTCTTGGTGCTCGAAGTTCTTTCTGGGGATCAGGGCGAAAGTAAGTTGAAACATCACAACGTTGGGGGGCCTCTTTTGGGGTGTTTCTTTGGCCGCTCCGTGGCGACTTGGGGCCGACTCGATTCGCATCGCTTCCTTTGCGGGGGATCTGGTCGCCTGCTCCTCGTCGAGAGGGGCACGGCAGCCCACCCCGCCCAGGAAGGCGCGAAGTCGTTGTCGGGAGCAGGAGGCACCACCTGACCAGGCCCCGGCCGGCCCAGGCATCGGATGCGTCCAAGAGGGGGGGGGGGGTCGGTAGCAAGTCCTGGGAGGCTCGTGTGCCCTGGCAACTCCATCTTTATAGCGCACTCGCGTCGATTAGCGTTGGGTAGTGGGTAAGATAGCGTCGCTTTAGCGTCGATTTAGCGTCTATCAGCTTCGATTAGCGTTGATTCGCAAGAGCCGGCCAGATGGTATGGGAGGCTTCTGTGAGTTGCCACCGAATGGGTGAGGGGGATCATCATGGCCAGAGCCTCGACGTCTCCCAGACTCTTACGACGGCCTCCTCTTCTCTTCAGCACGCCCCAAGACCCCAGTCGTCGGCGAGCATGCCTCGGGCCATGTTGGGCACCTCCCCCTCTTCAAGGGCGCCCTCGAGGGCTCGAAATTATTCACGCTTCGCGCTTCGCGCTTCGCGCTTCGCGGTTCGGCTCCGATTCCTCCTCATCCTCCCCTTCTCCCTTGGGAGGCGGCGCGAGAGCGCGAAGTTCTTCGCACTTCGCGCTTCGCGCAGCGCGAAGCGCGAAGTTGGGAGCCCTTGCTCTTCCTGCCCCTCCTAGGCGTAGCCGACAGAAGCCGGACCTCCAGGACGGAGCTGCGAGGGCCGAGGCCGAAGGGCGTTTTTTCGGAAACTGGAGCATCTACATTACCAGTGGCGGGCTGTTTTTCAGTCCCAGAGCTTCTTGAGGCTCGGGGACGACGTCGGAGTGGTGTGGTGTGTACCATTTTCCCCGTTTTCCCGTGGAAGCAGCGGAACATGTATACACCAGGATCCCGCAGACACCAGGATCCGCTTTCTGGTGCGAATTTGAGTGCGGGGCCGTAGAAACCGTCGGTGTATGGAGTCCGGTCCCTTATTTTTGCCCCCGTTCTGAGGCTCCGGGGAGCCTCTCGTCGCCGCGGCTGGGCCCACGTTGAAATCAGGACCCAAACGCACCTCGGCGCAGGCCCAGGAGTCGAAGTTCGACCCCCCAGAACTAGGCCCTCCCACGTTGTGCCGTATCGTGCTGCGACCTCTTGGTTGTTGTTGTTGTTGTTGCTGCTGCTGCTGCTGTTGTTGTTGTTGTTGTTGCTGCTGCTGCTGCTGCTGTTGTTGTAGTGTTATGCCCGATTGTATGAGTGGTCGGATTGTAGTGGGCTGCGGACACAAGGCTTGAATCATGCATTATCCTTGGCATCGTTTTTTTGCGCTCTTTTCTGCTCCGCGATCTCTCTTCGTTTGGCTCGTGATGCGAATCGCATGCGCGCGAGCTACCAGGGCCTACATCGAACCGTGTGGATGTTGCGACGGCAGAAAACGAAGCATGGCGACGGCAGGTGTTTAGCGATTTTTCGGCCTCCATGACCCCACTCTTGGTCTCAGCAGGGCCCGCTCGGCCGTCGTCGTGCTCGCGTGGGCGCCTCTGCGCGGTCAGCGTTCAACCGAGGATTTAACCATGTGGATGTTGCGGCGGCAGAAGACGAAGCATGGCGACGGAAGGTGTTTGACGATTTTTCGGCCCCCATGACCCCACTCTTGGTCTCAGCAGGACCCGCTCGGCCGTCGTCGTGCTTGCGTGGGCGCCTTTGCGCGGTCAGCGTTCAACCGAGGATTTAACCATGTGGATGTTGCGGCGGCAGAAGACGAAGCATGGCGACGGAAGGTGTTTGACGATTTTTCGGCCCCCATGACCCCACTCTTGGTCTCAGCAGGGCCCGCTCGGCCGTCGTCGTGCTCGCGTGGGCGCCTCTGCGCGGTCAGCGTTAAACCGAGGATTTAACCATGTGGATGTTGCGGCGGCAGAAGACGAAGCATGGCGACGGAAGGTGTTTGACGATTTTTCGGCCCCCATGACCCCACTCTTGGTCTCAGCAGGGCCCGCTCGGCCGTCGTCGTGCTCGCGTGGGCGCCTCTGCGCGGTCAGCGTGAAAAACCGAGGCTTTCTGTGGCGGCCAACCGTGTCGCCAGAGTGTCCCGCGACAGGTCGTTCGGTCGTTCGCGCCAGGGCGCCGAGCTCCGCAAAATTTACCGCCTGCGCGCGCAGGCACCGATGCTTTTGTCGGGCCCTTGCGGCGCAGCGAGGGCACTTCCAGAGTGCCTTCGGCGCGCGCGAGCTGTGCGCTGCTGGTGGAAAAAGAACCCGGCGCCGGAGATCTGGGAAGGACGCCCAGACATCCGCGGCGCCCCGGACCACGTCCAGCTGCCTGCAGCAGATGACGCCACCGTGCCGGCGCAGCAGCGCAGCGCGAAGGAGGCTGAGTCCAAGGCGTGCTGCCATTCAGCGCGTGGTCTCGACCTGCGTGGGTCTTCAACTCGACCTCGTTCCCTCCACTATTGGGGGTCGCTGGGGGGCCGCTCGGGGGCCCCCTGGAGGGCCTCTTTTTTGGGGGCCTCTTGGGGCGTCTTGGGGGCCTCTGGGGCCGCCTTGGGGCTCTCCTGGCCCGTCCGACGCCGTTGGAGGCCGTCTTGGGCGCCTCTCTGGGCCGTCTTGGGGCCCTCTTGGGGCGCTGTCGGCTGGGGGTCTCTTGAGCATTCTTGGGGCTTTCTCTTGGGCTTTCTCGAGGGCGTGGCGATAAGGACGTTGACGACGACGTCGGGGACGACTTGCCCCGATGGCACGAGGGATGAGACCAATTACGAGGATGGTGGTGTCAATGATGCTGATGATGGTGATCATGGCGCATTTGAAGATAATGGTGTTGTGGATGCTGATGGGGAGGATGGGGTGGAGGGAGGCCGGGGAACGGGTACGGGGCTTGGGGGAGCACTGGCGGTGTGTTTTTGTCGGCTTCCCTTTCGGCCTCCGGCGAAGGGATAATGACTATCTCGGGAGAGGCATGCGCAGCTACTTCGACCGCCCCGTGCAGAAGCTAGACAGGCCCCGATGTCAAGGGGAAAAAGGAGGAGAAGGAGGAGGAGGAGGAGGAGCAGAAAGAGGAGGAGGAGGAGGAGGAGGAGGAGGAGGAGGAGGAGGAGGAGGAGGAGGGGAGGATCATGATAAGGAGGCCAGCAGGGAGGGAGGGAGGGAGGGAGCGCTTCTTTTTGACAGCAACCTCCTCTCGACCATTCCTAGCAGGACCGTGGCCACGGGAAGAACTCGTTGTTCCTCTCCCGCTTGCTCTGCTGTGGGTGACGGCCCCGCTGGACTTGCATCCGCGCCCTGCGCCCCGCTCTGGTTTCTTTCATCTTGGAGCATGGCTGGCCCTACTTTTACGTCGGGCACGTCCCTCTACACGATAATCATCAAAATTGGAAAAAATAATCATCTTTTTTTGTAATTCTATTTTATTGTTTTAATTTTTGATCATTTTGTGGATTTTTCTGTTGTTGATTTTTTCGTCCAAAATCCGCTTGTAGGGGGACATGCTCGACCTGACCCTACTTTTCGGCTCGACCTCCTGCGCCAGAGTAACGGCGGAAGGGGCAGTTGCATGAGAAAGCTCCGTCCAGAGCAGTCGGCCACAGCGCGAACGCATAACCACTCTGCGTGAACGCCACGTCGTGGTCTGATCGAGTGCACCGGCACGCAATCATCGAACCAGATATTCACCAGGTGTGAGCCCCAGATTGGTTCAAGCCCTACATTCTGCTGGCTCAAGCCCTACGCTCTGGCTCAAGGCAATCCTGGCTGAACACATTCTGGAAGAAACCCCTGCCCCTCTCAAAGAGGAGGAGGAGGAAGAGGAAGAGGAAGAGGAGGAGGAGGAGGAGGAGGAGGAGGAGGAGGAGGAGGAGGAGGAGGAGAAGGAGAGGAGGAGGAAGAGGAGGAGGAGGAGGAGAGGAGGAGGAGGAGGAGAGGAGGAGTAGGAGGAGGAAGAGGAGGGAGGAGGAGGAGGAGGAGGAAGGAGGAGATGAGGAGGAGGAGGAGGAGGAGGAGGAGGAGGAGAGGAGAAGGAGGAGGAGTAGGAGGAGCAGGAGAGGAAGCGGATGAGGAGGGGAGGAGGAGGAGGAGGAGGAGGAGGAGGAGGAGGAGGAGGAGGAGCGAGGAGGAGGAGGAGGAGGGGAGGAGGAGGCGGAGGAAGAGGAGGAGGAAGAGAGAGAAGGAGGGAGGAGGAGGAGGAGGAGGAGGAGGGGAGGAGGAGGAGGAGGAGGAGGAAGGAGAGGAGAGGGAGGAGGAGGAGGAGGAGGAGGAGGAGGAGGAGGAGGAGGAGGCAGGAGCAGGAGGAGGAGGAGGAGGAGGAGGAGGAGGAGGAGGAGAAGGAGGCGGCTTAACCTCTCTCCATGATCCCACCCTGCCTCGCGCCGTCCGTGCCTTGGCCCGTCGCCCGCGACGGGCTGCTGGGCCTGCTCGTGAGCGCTGTGCTGGCGGCGGCCTTCCTCTTCCTGTCCCCCTCCGGTTGGGGCGCCGGTCAGCGGGCCGCCGCCGCGCTGGAGGAGACGTGGGCGGTGCTGGCCCTGCTGTTAAGTCGGGCCTGTCCCTCTACAGGGGGAATGTTCAAAAATGATCCAAAAATTGTCCAGGGACGAGTTTTTGATCATGTTTGGATTACTTTTGAACATTGTTGGCGTATTTTTTCCGTCCAAAATCCGCCGGTAGGGGGGCACGCCTGACCTGACCCTGCTGCTCGTCCGCCTCGCGGCCCCGAGGCTCCGCGGCGACGCCCCGCAGAGGTCGCAGAGGCCGAAGCAGGGCGCCGCCCTCGAGGTGCCCGGCGGTGGCGCAGCGGGCGGCGGCACACCTGAAGCTAGGTGCGGGGACGACGGGGCCTGCGCGCAGGCGGTCGGGAAGCTCGCCACGCGGATTCCCTCGGCAGTCTACAGGCCGGCGACGTGCCCGGCGCAGAGGAGCTGGCGCAGGAGACGCAGGAGGTCGGCGGCCCACCCGGCCGCCTGCGCCGTCCCTGCTGGGCGGTCGCCTTCGAGGAGGTGGTGGCCGGCCACGTTCGCGACGCCAGCGCCGCGAATGCGGACGAGTGGCTCGGCGCCTTCGCCGCCGTCGCCCCCGCGATCGGGCCCAGCACCGCCTGCGCCAGCTCGGCGCGCGGCGCCCCGTGCGCGGGCGGCGACGCCGCCGCCGCGAAGGCGCGGGTCCGGAGGATGCCCGAGCTGGAGCGGGGTGGGCGACGACGCGTGCTCCGAGCTCATCGGCGGCTGCGCCCGGGCGGGCGACATGCCGCGCGGGAGCGCCTGGTGTGTGTGTGTGTGTGTGTGTGAGGTGCGGAGGGCCGGCCCGCGCCCCGGCGCCGAGCTCCACGGGCTGATGCTCTCCAGGCCTGCGCGGGCGACTGCCGCGGCGCCGCCCGAGCGCGGCGAGCGCCTGGCCGCCCGCTGCCCGCACGCGTGCCGCCGGTGGCCCGCGGGCAAACCGCCCAGAAGGCACCGCGGCACGGCGGAGCAGCGAGACGTGCGCGCATGTCACGTTCTGGGGACTGCAGCCAGGCGCATGCTTGCAGCTGTCGCGTCTGTGACAGCCAGGTGCCGCGCAGTGTCGGACGGGGGCGCGTACTTAGTCCTGCAGCTTATTGCTGGGTTGCGCAGGCTTCTTGATTTGAGCGCACGGGTGCCCCCCTGGCGCGCGGGCCGGCCCTGCGCCTCTCCGCTCCGCGGGCTGCGGGGCCGCGGCGCACGGGCCAGCTCGCCTGCCAGGCTTCCCCGCCGCACGCCTGTCTTCATGCGCAGGCGCGCGTGCAGCGCGGGCCAATCCCCTCGGTGCGTGGAGCCCGCCCGACGCCTCCACTCCGCGGCTGCGGGGCCGTGGCACTTGGGCCAGCTCGCCGCCCAGGGATAGCCCCTTGCGCGTCGTTTGTTCTGTCTTTGTAACATGCTTGGCCGTTGCGTCGGACCTTGCGCCGACCGGTGCCCCGCGCCTGCGTCGCCGGGAGGCGCCGGCGGGTTGCGTTTGCCAGTTGCGGCGCGTTGCGCGCCCGATCTCTTCCATTTCTGCTCTCCTTCCCCTTTCCTCCCCTTTCCTCCGCGCCCGATCTCTTCCATTTCTTCTCTCCTTCCCCTTCCCTTCCCCTTTCCTCCGCGCCCCTTCCACTATTGATCATGCCGTTTCTAGTCAGGAGGGAAGAAAACACACAGACACCATTAATCGGCGATTTCCCAGAAGTATGGGAAAATATGGGAAGTGGGGGGGGGGAAGACAGAAACCCAGAAAATATGGGAAAATATGGGGAATCTTTTTTTATTTGTGTGTATTTCTTTGTGTGTCCCAGGGCCCCTTCATCTAGTCGCCGCTGCCGCGGCCGTGCCCTCTCGGTCTCGCGGCGTGCGGGCCTCGCGGCGTTCTTCGACGGCGCGCGCCGTCGCCTCTGGAGCTCGTCTCTCCCGCCCGTCGTTGGCCCGCATGCTCCTCTCCATGGCTCCGCGCGGCGCCCCGCCGGGTGGGCGCGGCGCGTGGCCGTGGCGAGCTTCGGCATCTGCCCAGCGCGCCCGCCTGGCCACACGTTTCAGCTCGCTGAGGGGCAGCGGGCGCGATCTGTGTTTCCGGGGCGACGCAGGAGGAGGCAATGCTCGTAGGGCAAGAGCAAATCTAAGCAGCCCAATCGTTGGTAAGAGCCAACCTTAGGTCCGAACTTGTCGCGAATGGGTGTCGTAAGGACTGTTATTGACAGATGAAGCGCGCCGGCTGAGCGTATTGGGATTTGGCCCTGGAAACAATGCCGCCCCCCAAGCGATTTCCAAGCCAAACGTGTCCTTTCCCACCTCCTCGCTCGTCCCGTCTGCACGCCTGCAGCACGCTCGGTCCCTCTTCCGGGGCCACGGCCCACACCGTGCGCGATTTTTTGCCCATCGCAGGTCGGCAGGCTGGCTCTTTGTGGCTTCTTTGGCTGCCCGTCGCAGCTTGGCTTTTTCGTGGTGCTCCCAGCCTATCGCAGTGCCGTGCTCTTGCCCAGCGCTGGTTGGCTCTTGCGGTGCTCCCGGTTTGCCCGTCGACCTTCCGACTCGTTCCGCGGTCGAGGCCGCGTCGGGTGGAGTTCCGTGGTCGCGCTCCGTCTGCCTCGTCAACAGAGACAGGCGCGTGGGCCCCAGGCCATGGGCTCGAGGGAGTCCAGGGCGGCACGCTCGTGCTGAGGCTGCTTCGAACCAGGCGCGTCGGGTGGAGTTCTGTGGTCGCGCTCCGTCTGCCTCGTCGACCAAGACAGGCGCGTGGGCCCCAAGCCATGGGCTCGAGACTGTCCAGGACGGCACGCTCGTGCTGAGGCTGTTTCGAGCCAGGCGCGCACGCGCGCACGCCACGGCCATCGAACTAACCTCATTATTTTAGCTGGTCGGATTTGTTAGCGGATTTCTGGGGGACTCGTGGCCGGGGCGCGGGTCGCCCTGGCTGCCTTTTCAGACACGGTCGTCTTATCGGTGCTATTCGCTGCTGGAGCGGCTTTCCTTTGGCAGGATTGGGTGCTGGAGCCCATGGCGTGGGCTGCTGGAGCCACTGGCCCCAGGAAGAAGTGGGTACTGGAGCCCACCCTTTTTGACGGATAGTCTGCTGGGACCGTGGTTCTTCCCCTAAGCTGGGTGATGGAACCCACGGCGTGGGCTGCTGGAGCCATTGACCCTAGGGAAAAGTGTGTACTCGAACCCACCCTTTTTTTGACGGATAGTCTGCTGTGACCGCTGTTCTTCCCCTAAGCTGGGTGATGGAGCCCACGGCGTGGGTTGCTGGAGCCAGTGTCCCTCGTAGAAGCTGGTATGCTGGACCCCCCCCCTTTTTTGACGACATGATTTGCTGGAGCCGCTGTCCTGGCAAAACTTGGCGGTGGCGCCACGCCCCGTTCAGGGTTTTCACGATTCAAATAAGGTGGGGGCGTGTGGGCCCAGGTGGGGTCCCAGCATTCTAATCACTGGTCGCCCTCAAATGGGGAGCATTCCGCGCGCGCGTGCGTGAGCGTGCGCGTGTGCGCGAGCGTGCGCGTGCGCGCGTTCGTGCGCGTTCGTGCGCGTTCGTGCGCGCGCGCAAGCAAGCAAATTCAGGCGCGAGGACGAGCCGTGGCCCGAGCGCGAGCCAGACTCAAGACCGAGCGCGAGCCTGAGACCGAGCCCGAACCCGAACCCCATCCTGAGCGCGTGCACGCGCGGGTTCGCGCGCTCGCGTTCGCGTGCGTGGACGCGCGCTTCCGATATGCTGACATGCTCTCAAAGAGTCAGCTCACTACCAACAATATTCACCTGACTGTAATGTTGAACGGGTGTCCGAAGCAATCCGTTATATTGGAACCTGTGTCGAACCGGGCTCCGACTCATCGTTTGGAGGAAGACCCCGCAGGAAACGCTTACTTTTTTCTTTGTTTCAAGCTGGTTTCTGTTGCTTCTAGCCTGGTTTGAAAGAGCGCGTTCTGTGGTCGCTTGGAGCTGGGGGTTGGAACCAGACCCCCTCCCCTCCCCTGGATGGAGGGGGTGGGGGGGGGGGTTCGAACCCCGCCCCCTCCCGTGACGGAGGGGGGGGGTTCGAACCCCCCCCTCCCAGCCCCTACTTCTCCTCTCTCCCTCTCCTCGGCTGGCGGCGGCGGCGGGGACGACGATTTCCTTTTCTGGTCCGGCGCCGGCGCCTGCGGCGGCGGGCGGCGGCGGCGGGGAGAATCGACGAGGACGACGGTGGGGGTGGTGGTGGTGGTGGTGGTGGCGGTGGTGGTGGTGGCGGTGGTGGTGGTGGTGGTTGTGGTGGTGGTGGTGTGGTGGTTTGTTGTTGTGTTTTGTGGTGGTTGTGGGTGGTGGTGGTGGTGTGGTGGTGGTACGGCGGTGGTTTGTGGTGGTGGTGGTGGTGGTGAGTTGTGGTGGTTGTGGTGGTTTGGTGGTGGTGTGGTGGTGGTTTGTGGTGGTGGTGGTGGGTTGTGGTGGTGGCGGTGGTTTGTGGAGTTGGTGGTGGTGGTGGTGGCGGTGGTGGTGTGTGGGTGGTTTGTGGTGGTGGTGGTGGTGGTGGGTTGTGCTCTGGTAGTGGTGGTGGTTGTGGCGGTGGTGGTGGTGGTGGCGTGGTAGGTTGTGGTGGTGGTGATGGTGGTGGTGGTAGTGGTGGTGGGTTTTTGTGGTGGTGGTGGTGGTGATGGTGAGTTGTGGTGGTGGTGGTGGTTGTGGTGGTGGTGGTGGTGGTGGCTGTGGTGGTGGTGGTGGTGGTTGTGTGGTGGGTTGGTGGTGGTGGTGGTGGGTTGAGGCGGTGGTGGTGGTGGTAGTGGTGGTAGTGGTGGTGGTAGTGGTGGTTATCGTCGCTGCGTCCCCGCAGTCGCCGGCGCCAGCGCCTGCGCTGCTGGCCGCCGCCAGCGCCGGCGCCGGCGCCAGGGGCGGGGGATGGGGGGTTTGAAGCCACACCCCTCGGCGCCGAGTGGGGTTGGGGGTTTGAAATCCCCTCCCCACCCCCCTTTCCCGTTTGGGCTGCCTCTGGTCATTGTCGCTGCGTCCCCGCCGTCGGCGCTGCTGGCGGCCGCCGGCGCCGGCGCTGGGGGGGGGGGTTCAACCCCTCCCCCCCTCCTTGGGAGGGGGGGTGGGGGGGTGGGGGGGTGGGGGGGGTTCGGGAGGGGGGGCGTTTGGGGGGGAGGGGAGTCCCTCTGAGTGTTGGGAGGGGGGGCCCACCCCCCGGTTCGAAACGTGCCGCCGAATGTTCCCAAGGCAAGCGCCGTGAAACGCGTTCTCTCCCTGGTTTCGCGCCTGGTTCGAGCTTGCTTTGCGGGGAAGCTCCGCGCGACCTGCCGATGTCGAGCCGATGTCTGGTTCAGCCTGGTGAAGGTCCTCGGTCGGGAACTTTGGCTCGGCGTGCCGCTCTGGCGGTTTTGCCCCACCACGCTTTGGCGCGAGGCTCTCGCCCCGCCCAGCGGGGCGACGCGCTACTGGCTCGCAGGGCACAGCGCGCCGCCGAGGCCGCCGCGGCGACGCGCTGAGCGAAGGTTTCCGACCGTAGCAGGATGGGAGTCTACAGTGGGGGTCCATGCAAAGAAGCACCCTGCTTGCCTCCAGGGTGCCCTGGGCTTCTCGGGTTTCGATGGTTTTGCGATGGAGAGCGCGACGTTCCCGCACCCAGAAATCAGCGGACGTCCTGGGGTCTCAGGGTTGGGTTCCTTGTGGAAGGTTTCTAGTGGACGGGCCCCCACTTGTAGTTGGAGGGCGCAAGCCCGAGGTTGCCCGCCCCCCTGCTGACGCAGCTTTTCCGAGCCCTCGTAAAGTACAACTCGCTCGTGCTTCTGAGGCCACATCCTTGCGCTCGCACTTCCGAGCCGACACTACCTTGCGAATTGCAATGCTGTCGCGTCCCCGAGGCCACACTCCCTTCTAGATAACGACGCGTTCGCGCTCCCGCACGCATTGTACTTGGACCCGCGCTCCCAACGGGGCGACTCCCGCGGTCGCACTGCGCGCTCCCCCGCACCTCCGATCCGCGCTGCGCCAGCCTATCAAGCATCGGGCGGCCTCGTATCACGGCGCAGCGTGCCGAGTTGATCTTCAGCCGCGCGGTGAGGGAGGCGGGGTCCTACCAAGCCCAGAAGCGCCCCAAAGCGCCGGGAAGCGCCCTGAACTCCAGGCGGTCAGCCCTGAGGACTGAGAATTGAGGACGGAGAGCCCGAGTGACCTGAGGACGCTGTAGCTCATGCTTCAGGGCACGGTGGCGGATACTGGGGAGGGCTCTCAGGAGATGGTCAAGAGGAGGACTATAAAGAGGACATGGTGGAAACGCAAATCTGATGATGATAAGGATGAGGATGATGGCCCAAACGAAGGCGATGGTGCGGATTATGATGATGCTGCTGATGCTGATGATGATACTGAGGCTGCTGATGATGATGCTGATGCTGATGCTGATGATGATGCTGATGATGATGGTGATGATTATGATGATGATGATGATGACGATGATGATGCTGCTGCTGCTGATGATGATGATACTGATGCTGCTGATGCTGATGCTGATGCTGATGCTGATGCTGATGATGATGGTGATGGTAATGGTGATGGTGATGGTGATGGTGATGATGATGAGTACGATGCTGATGGTGGTGGTGGTGATGATGATGCTGGTCTTGATGATGGTCATGGTGATGATGATGAGGAGGATGGTCATGCTGTTTATGATGGTCGTGGTGATGATGGTGCTGATAACCATGATGATGCTGATGCTGCTGATGATTATAGAGGTGGTGGTGATGATGACGATTATGATGTTGCTGATGGCGATGATGGCGATGATGATGATGACGATGACGACGCCGATGACGATGGCGATGCTGATGATGATTGTGATGGCGATGGTTGTGACGGTGGTGGTGATGATGAGATATTGCTGCTGTTGATGATGCTGCTGCAGTTGATGATGATTGGTGGTGGTGATAATGGTGATGCTGTTGATGTTGGTGATGGCGATGCTGGTGATGATGGTGCTGATGATGGTGGTGATGCTGATGCTGCTGATGATGTTTTTGTTGTTGTTGATGATGACGATGATGATGCTGATGATGGTGATGCTGATGCTGACGATGGTGAAGATGGTGGTGGTGATGGTGATGATGACAGGAGCAATGATGGTAATGAGGGGGAGGTGCGTGGAGGTGCGAGGAGGAGAAGGCCGATGGACAAGCTAGAGAGAAGGATGTCAAGGGAGGATACGGGACACGGTGGGATGACGATGGCGGTGATGAGGATGTGGGGGAAGCTCATGTGGAGGAGGAGGAAGAGGAGGCGGAGGAGGAGGAAGAGGAGAAGGAGAAGGATGACGAGGAGAAGAAGCAGGAAGAGGAAACGGAGGAGGAGGAGGCGGAGAGGGTTGCTGCCCCCGTTTGGCCTGTAGTGGTGCAAGGCGGCGCGTGCTTGAGCCCACGTGGAACCTGGAGCGGAGGGGCCAGGACGCTTCCAAGGAGGCGTACTTGGTCTTCGACGCGAAGACGGCCAAGTGGAAGGAGGAGCGGGGCCGCTGGCACCAGCCTCTCCCCTCGAGGAAGATCGAGGATCGAAATCCTCCTTGGTCTTATTTAGCCTTCTTTGGCCTCTTGGGGCTTCATGCCTGAGGATTCTGGAGGATTCCTTCGGGTTCAGTCGAATTTCGTAGGGCGCCTCGGATCCCAGA